TTTCTGCACAGGCTGTCGCTGTGGTGCAATCAAGTCTTGTCTTTTATGCATGCTCGCGCGGATTCGGGACTTCTACATCGTTATTGAAAGATGGTCGACTCGATCAGATTCAGACTGTAAGTTGTCATTTCATATTCTATTGCTTTGGATCAATGGACCACAACTGAGCAGCTACCTAGTTAATTGCAACAAGCGATATCATCGCGCTGATAATCATCTATCTCTCCAAATGCTGTGTCGTGGCGATCTACCTCCGCCTCACGCCACAGAAACCACATAACCGCGCATCCTGGGCGACACTAGCTCTGTGTACTGCCTGGGTTATCCCGGCTATATTAATTGTCCTAGTCAACTGCGAGCTAAACACACCTTGGCGGAATGACAGCGGCCAATGTCACAACTTGGTATGTAAACCCACCAATGAGATACTATGTATCAACTTCCCAAAGCCGTCTCTCATCTTTCACAAAAATAGTACATACGATGGCAATTCATCGCAGCAGTCGACGTTATAACCGAGCTCCTCCTCTTCCTCCTAGCTGTGATCCTCCTAAAAGGCCTCTTCATGTCCGTTCGCCGCAAACTAGCCGTCGGCTTTGCATTTATATTCCGGTTTCCGTGAGTAATCCGTATCCGCACCCATATATTCTCAATCTCCATCCCCGATCTCAAAACTAACCACACAATCCCAGCCTCATAATATTCTCCTTGGTCCACATCTCCACCCTCCACACCGCTCTAAACAACGAAGACACAACCCTCGCTGCCGTTGAACCAACAGTCTGGATGCAAGTTGAGCTCCACTACGCCCTAGTCGCATGCAGTGTATTCTGTCTCCGACCCTTTATGGCAGCAGTCAGTACGAACTACGGTACAGCGGGCGACTCGACGCTGGAAAGTAGCGCATCAAGATCAAACGGGACGAAAGAAGGCTCGAAGACCGCATCTGGGTCTGATTCGGGCACGAGATCTGGATCGAATGTCGCTTCAAGGTCCATGTCGCATTCTCGCGTACAGAGAAAAATAGCAGGTACTGGGTCATGGCCTCTGGTTACTCCAGTCATTAGTGGTCCCGGTTCTGGTTCTGGTTCTCGGTTGCGACATTCGGAAACTCAGGGCCCGAGTCAGGGTCCTTCATTGTGTCCTGATACCACTCCCCATGCGCGTGGAGCACTTGAAAATAATCGACGGGATGGGGATAGTGGTAGGTCCGCTACCGTGCTTGCGCCAATGCGTCGGTCGATGTTCCCGCTCAGTCCGCCGGGCAAGAAACAGAGCTTCCAAAAGACCGAAAAGGGGAAGAATGGTGTGAAGGCTGGGTCTGTGGGGTCGTTTCCAATGGCGTCAGATTTGATTGAACTTGTGCCGAGGTCGCACATTAGACATGCCAGTGTTGCGACCGAGCAAGGTGATGGGGAGGATAAAATGGTTATCCATAAGGAGATTCAGTACTCTATTCAATATGAGGATGAAGCGGACCTGATGAGGCGGGAGAACGAGGATTTGAAGGTTAATTCTGTTGATGTTTCTGCTTATGTATAATTTTATTTTTGTATTCTGGGTCCCTGTAAGACGTATGGATGTGGGATATTATGCATAGACAAATCGGGGATTGGAATGTCTTTTGCTATGGCGCCTGTGGAGGAAGGGGATGCTATGTATGATATTGAAAGCCATAATATAATGCCTGGAACGCCGGTTCTGTCGAATCAAATAGAGATATTGCTGATGGTAAAAGCTGTACACAAGATCTCAATGTTATAACGCTTCAGTTCTTTGAACGCTTGAAAGGATGAGCTTCGGTGCTCCTGAAAAGAGAATCATTAGCACATGAAGACAAGATAAACACAGCTGGGCGCAAACATACAGCACATAGTCGTCCAGACTGATATGATCTGGCTCAGAAAAGATGAGGTAGAGGTACTTGAGAGTCTCGGCAAGCCAAAAGCTCTCCATTTTGTCCTCATGTTTTGGTTTCGAATGACGCACATCGTTGATAGATGAATGGCCAAATTTAGTCCGGGTCACCTTGTCAATGTTCTTAAACATGCGCCATGCGGAGTCCTGAAGAGTTTTATCTCCAGTAATCCGGTACATGACGAACAGGGACTCAAGAGCTTCAGGTCTGGACGGATAGTATGTTAGTGAGCTGCCCCACGAAAAATGAGATAAACCCGTACCTGAGCTTGTACGATGCGTCTCGAACACTAGTCACACCTGGCGGTAGATGCTCAGTCTCAATGCGGTGCTCCGCTTTCTCGCGGTCCTCCTCAGTTTCAATAGACTGCGATATGACATCCGACATCCACTGCTCTTCATCCCACGGACACTCATCAATGTACTTGCAAGGGCTGACCTTGAACACCTCCGGCATAATTCCCGTAGGCATAACATCATATGCCCAGACACAGCCGTCGGTAAGTCCCCGGGCAACATACATATCCTCGGGCCGATTGAAGACCTTGGCCCCAATAGCCACGGTGCCACCCATGAAACATTTGAGGTGGTCAGGCGCGTACTGGAAGGTCTTTGAGTCACCCCGCAGTGCGATGACGTTAGCTGTGAAAAGAACATGCTGATCCTCGTCCTGGGTCATTCCTCTGAACAGCAGATTCTCGTTGAATGTTTTAATGGCCTTTTCGTACATCCGGTGATATTTGTCCGTCTGTGCGCCTAGCAGAATGTGTTCTTTGGGCAAGTACTCGTACGCAGAATCGGCACATCCACCGATGGTGAACTCAGAGTCGTCAAACTTCATCAAGTCGGTGTCGATCCATGTCGGCCACATGCCGGGCATCCGAGTTTTGTCTTGCCCGATCTCAAGCTCGTTCATAATTCTCTGAACGGCATCGTAGTACTTAGGATCACCAGTCAATTGGGTCAGACGAGTGAATTCCATTGTCAAGGAGCCCAATTCCGCTAAGCTTGTGCGTGAAGATGGTGTGATTTCTTTGCCTTGGGCGGATCTGGGTATTATCAGTCTCGAGTTCTCATTGCGTATTTGTCTATATTTTGGCACACCTAGTCCACTCCCAGCGCACTTGGGGCATGCGATTATGCGTATCAAACGCATTGAAAATCATCTCGCCTAGTTCGACAGCCTTTCTCAGCAGAATAGGGTGTTTGCCCTCGGTGAGGTCATGGGCAGCAATAAAGCCACCCATATAGCGAATGATGATCTCAAACACAGGCACATGCCTGCTTTTAGTCGTTGTAAAGTCGATTTCCTCCAGAGCCTCCAGAGCCAGCTGCAGCTCATCGTCCAGTCCCATAATCACAAGGGCATCGAGCGAATCAACGAGCGTGGCGCCCCAGCCATTGAATGTATCCTGGTATCCTCCAGTGCGGGGTTTCACCTCATCTCGCATCCACGCATAATCCTTATATCCATTCCATGAATGAAGAAACGCCTCCTTCACAGCATCACGCTTCTTGAGTCTGGCCTTGCGCTCGCTGCTGGTTTCTTCGGGAAAGTTATGCTGGATGCGGGGGATCTTCACCGAACTTTTTGGCAGTGGGATGTACTCTGTAACGGGGAATCTCTCGGTGACTTTATCTAGACGAATGGCATCATGTCGAATGGTGCCGTCTTTTCTAGAGATTGGCTTTGTTAGGCGACCTCGGTATGTTTTTGTACTGGGTAGCCAGAAGAAGAAAAAGTATGTCGCGACAATCAGGAAAAATGCTGTTAATAGAGGTCGATTTTTGCGCTTGTTATACATAATGAATGAATGGAGTTGGGGTACAAAATAACGAAAATAATAATAAAGGAACGGTCATAGGAAGCGCAGAGAAGGAGTGGAATGATGTACTAGTCAAGGGACCAGTAACAAAGTCCGACATACAACATAAATGTCTCGGACAGAAGATCACCGACTGGAGTAAACATAGGAAATGGACACATTTTTACACAATGTGGCACGTCATGGCTTGTGAGAGGTCTCTGCGAAGGGGAATCAGACGCGGCCGAATTTCTCTGGAGGCTCCATTGATCGTCCTTGGTGGCTTTTGGAAGGTAGGCATGATGATGCACAGGGTCAAATGATGATTGGTGCAATTTGAGAATGCCACACCCCTTTCACGCCAGGCCACGCAATAAGGGACTGCAGGGTCCAATCTATATTATTATTAGACGTCAAGTCTAGGCTTGAGTGCCAAGAGCCTCTTCTGTCTCTCAGGGCTGTGCTTAATCTAGGGCGCCACCAACCCCACTGCGGCCCCTGACTCTCTCTCTCTGTCTTGGTTGATCTTGGCAATTTTCAGATCGATACTTGGAAGATCGGATAATAGTAACACATTGCAAGGCTGAAAGATTGCTGTGTTAATATCATATCGTTCAGACACCCATACCGTTGTCTGTTTTGGGACTGCATCTGGGATCTGGGGTCAAAGGGATTGGTAGAAGCTGAGAAGCTGACCGTAATGTTGAAGTTTCGAGCCATATCATTATCTTCGAGAGATAAAAGAGGAAATAAACAATATTAGAATTCCAATACCATATTGCAATGTAAACAACTTAGAATTATCATGGAAAGAAAAAAAAGATTTGGTTTGAAGACAGTTGAGTAGATGTTTGCTCTGTTTGCACCCATGATGGCTTTCATCTGGAGAATTGCTGATGATTCTCCAGAACGACATCATATAGAAATATTGAATTGTCCAAAGGTGCCGGATGCTTCTCCTTAGTAGTTGATTATACTAATCAGATGTATAGATTGCAAAGGTCCCAGCTTGTTTAGGAGTCCTCTTTTGTCATTCCCCTGGCACTGGACCTGATCATCATTCTTATTGATCGATCTCTATATCTATATTGCGTGGTCGCTACCTGCTACATATTCCCTAAATCAATCTCCAGCAGGACTGAAGGTTACCTGGGAACTCATCACCGCCATTTCGTCGACTCATCAATTCCCCAGTTGATACCCCACAGCTCTGCTGTGACCACCGGTCTAATCTCTTTTGCGTCTGCCCACAATATAAGAGGAAAGCAAACATAAAAAATGCCTATCACAGGGTAAATCCCTTCTTCCAATCCAATACAAACCCCCCAAACTAACCCCACAAAGCGTCTACTTTATCCCTTCAAACCCCAACGCCTCAACAGCCCTCCAATTAGTAACAGAGCGCCTCCGCGCCGCCTTCCCAAATGAAGAACTAACTCCAATCGGCCGCTGGGGCCTGGAACAAAAGCTCTTGCGCGACACTCCAGGCCTACTCCCCTCCTCCTCGAACTCAAACAAGAAACCTTCAAACCCACGCTACATGCAATTCCTCTCATTAACCCACTACCCAACCCACGGCTTCATCTACACCTCAGAGGCCGAGAAAACAGCCCCAGCACTAAACCAAAATCAACCCCAGAATGCAGCAGGCGCGCCTGGCCCCATAAATGGCGTCGCGCCGGACCACTCCCCTTCCCCGTCAATGGTCATGATAACTGCTCCCCCCTCGTCATACGGAACCCTCTTCCAGCACTTCACCTACGCTTGTCAGCCCTTCTGGGCCCATCGGCTCACGCTAACGGTCCCGAACGGTATCGTCTATGAGGTTGGTGACTTCCGCGTGCGTCTGGGTGATGTGCGGCAAACGTTCCCGACGGCGCGGGTGCGTGGTACGGTCATTGAGGTTGAATGGCGCGGTCCATCGGTTGTGGAGGCGGTTCCTGTGGGCCTGGATGATGGCTCATTTGGTGTTGGTCTTGGTGCTGGCGGTGCTGGCGATGTGGATGTTGAAGCTGCGGGTATCGACCTCGCTAGCTCTGCGATTGAGGAGTCGGACATCGATGCGGAGTATGCGGCGACTGCGTCGTTGATTCGGGAGTTTTGGGGGAGATTGGGTGTTGAGGCTCGGGAGGCGATTCTTATTCCGAATGTTGGGATGGAGGTGAAGGATCGGCTGAGGAAGTGGAAGAAGGCTGGATCTGGGGTTGATACCAAGATTGATACTAGAGTTGATGAGGTTGGCTCTGTGGTTGGTGAGCGAGCTGAAGAAGACCCTGACCCGTGGTCTGGGGCGGATGTTGCGAGGCAGTTTATGGAGGTTTTGAGGTTTAATCGATAATTGGATGCTCGAATTTTTGGGGGTTGGGTATGGATGGATAGTTACTTCTTATACGCTTGCTACGATATTTTGTGGACAGGGCTGGTTAACAAGGTGGCGACGTTGAAGCAAGTCCAGCACTATTAGGGTTATAGGGGGGAGCGCCATCATTCCTATATTATGAACACTTGACCCAAAGTACCGCCCGGTCCATTCCGTCTGCATTTCAAAGCACACGCTCGATCGTAAATCATCCAAGATGTATAGCCTAGCGTAGACTACAGGAAATCGGTATTGGAAAATTGAAATGGAAGAGAAACATTCTCGTTAAAAAAAACCGCGACGTCAGCTAACATGGAAAAAGGCGCACGGTGTAAATGTGTCGTTTATTTTTGCATCATGAGCTGGACGAACTCGTTGTCTGTATGGAGATAAGAGGTTAGCATTTGGTAAGGCAAGCGCCGGTAGGCTCCAAGATTGTTTCCAAAACATACAGTCGATCCGGCCATCACCATCCTGGTCCGCCTCGCGGATCATCTCGTCAACCTCGTCGTCGGTCAGCTTCTCACCAATGGAAGTCATGACGTGGCGCAGTTCGGCGGCGGAGATGAAACCGTTGTTGTCGCGATCGAAGACCTTGAATGCCTCACGGATCTCCTCCTCGGAATCGGTATCCTTCATCTTACGAGCCATCATGGTGAGAAATTCTATGGCACGTCAACAACTGTCTCTCGTTTATACCAGTGGGGTGTGGGCAAGTACCGGGGAAGTCAATGGTGCCGTTGTTGTCGGCGTCAACCTCGTTGATCATATCCTGCAGTTCGGACTCGGAGGGGTTCTGGCCCAGCGAGCGCATGACGGTACCAAGCTCCTTGGTGGTGATTTGTCCTATTGGTAGGATTGTACATTAGTATACTTTTCTTTTGAGATTCGATAGCAGAGGACACTGCTGTGGGCTCAACTGAGCTGTCGGGCGCAACCACACGTACCATCGCCATCTTTGTCCTATTTCACAAAACAAACTCCTGGTCAGCATGTTTTAGACCACGACAGTAATCGGTATATGGAGTCACTCACAAACAGGGAGAAGGCCTCCTTGTACTCGGACACTTGCTCTTCGGTGAGGGAATCAGCCTAGAGAACGCGGTCAGTGAGGTTCAAGAATGGTGATGCCCCGCAATGTGGGGGATTTATTTTCGACAAAACAACATGGTAAACTGGTAAGCTGGAAGATACGCTTAGGTATCAGGGACATACCATGATGAATGTAGATGAGGGGGGAAAGTACAAAGTAAGGGAGGGGTCAAATGAAGAAGAGGGTTAAAGGGGAACAGCCTTACGAGACCAAAATAGCGTGCCTGAGGTGCCCAGTCAGCGTCGTTTCATCTCAGGGCGGTAGGACCCTCCCAGGGCTGAATGGGCTGAAATGTTGCCACAGTGTTTTTCTTTGGGCTTTATGCTTCGATCTAGGTGCCTATGTTGTACGTAGTCTTCTTTTCAAGGTATGTATCTACTATATTTCTTACATGTTATGTGACCTCATGGATCTAATATCAAGAAAGCTTGACCTCGGGGCTCCAGGGCTATGCTAATAGTATGCAGAGCCATGAAGCCTAATCTCATTAGGAAGGTCTTGGCCTTTGTTTTCGATTTCTTTTTCATCTTTTAATCCTGTGTTGGGATGTAGGCTGCGGGGTGGATTTATACTAGTAGATCTAGAACCAAACAGACAACATTCATTGAATATAGCTCTTCTGTTCACCTTCGAATTTGCACTTGAGAACTTCCATTCACGTATTTAGGTCAGTGATATGTACCATTCGAAAATCCGAAGCATACCAAACCATTTACAATTGGCAACTGAAATCTTTTCAATACCGGAGAATATGTACGGGGAATATATACAGGTCAGGTACGGAGTAGAGCTGTCTTACCGAGCCATACGAAAATTACCCCTCTCCACGTGGATAAAACCACGGATTACATGACTCGGACATACGTGACCCCTTCCCTATGGAGAGAGCTCCCTTCCATACTAACCATTCAATCCCAAAACACTTCCACCTGATCATGATTCCTATGACCTCACCAAATCAATAAACCAGCACAACCCGATCCTTCCAACGCCCTCACAATGTGGCGGGATCGCACCAACCTGTATGCAACCCCAATATACCCTACCCCCAAGCGCAACCCGCCAGCGCCGGAAAGAGACAAAAAAGAAAAGAAACACCATAAAGCCCAGGCTACAAAGCATAGCAACAACTAACAACCTACCTCCAAACTCAGCTACCTTTCCTACCGCCAATCCCTAATCCACCACCCAGCCAAAAAGCCACACTTCACACCAACAAATGCCTTCTCCGACACACCCTCGCATCCGGAGGAGAATAGGCGCCTAATACCCGAAACGGACGAAGATGGTGATATGGTCATCGAGATGGACCTCCTCCCGCCGCGCTGGGTCGACGTGCAGGAAGAGGTCTCCGAACTGTTATCCGAGATTGCCCAGAACTCCGCCCAGCTCGACAAACTACACCAGAAACACCTGCTCCCTGGCTTCGGCGATGAGGACCTGCGCAAGCAGGATGAGGGAGTTATCGAGCGCTTGACGCAGGATGTCACGCGCTCCTTTCATGAGTGCCAGCGCGCTATCATGCGCATCGAGACTATGGTGGGCGAGTCCAAGGCGCATGGTGGTGTAACGAGTGGGGAGGAGACTATGGCGAAGAATATTCAGATCTCACTTGCTGCCAGGGTGCAGGAAGCTAGTGCTAGGTTTAGGAAGAAGCAGAGTACTTATTTGCGGAGTATGGGTCCCTTCTTTTTGTGTTCCTGTTCTTGTTCACTTCCCACGGTGGAGTCGGAATCGGTTGGTTCAGATATGCTAATGTGATGATTTGTTTTGAGCAGAATTACGAGATCTCGAGGGTATCGCGACGCCCTTCGATGGCACACCCACGCAGGCCCAGAACCCATACACGGATCCGTCGATGATGGAGTCAGATGCCGACAGGTCGTTTTCGCAGACGATGTTGCAGCAGACCTCGCAGCGGCAGACCGGTCAGAATGACGCTGCTATTGCGCAGCGGGAGCGCGAAATCAACGATATCGCCAAGGGGATTATTGAGCTCTCGGATATATTCCGTGAACTGCAGAGCATGATTATCGACCAAGGAACCATGTTGGATCGTATAGACTACAACGTTGAGCGAATGGGCACCGAGGTTAAGGCCGCGGACAAGGAGCTTAAAGTGGTATGTTCCTTACCGGCGATTTTTCTTCCCTCTGCTCCCCTTCCAATGTTTATTGGAGATCGCTGGAACGAGAAACTGACTCATATAGGCTACGAATTATCAGAAACGAACCACCAAGCGTAAGATTATGCTATTACTCCTCCTGATCGTGGTGGGAATGATCATTGTACTGGTTGTGAAACCAAAGGGGGGCAGTTCAGCGCCGCCACCACCTGCACCTCCAGAGGATGAATCTTCAAACAATATCCGCTCTGTGTTGTCTTACCGGGGGCGAAGGCATCAGTTGTCGAACCGCTTCGCTCGAGATCGGTGGCTGGATCCGGATATACTCCGATGACGCTTTTTCTTTTGCAATTAGCATTAGTTCATGGATAATGTAACCAGAAGAGCAGGCGTTCCCTTTACATATTGATAATCGCTGTAGTGCTGAGTCTTTGCAAGTAAAATGGCATCTAGGCATGATGCGCATATGGAGGTTCCAGCCTGATGTGATCTGGTCGTCATGTGTTAATATAGATGTATTTACACCTCTTGGTTCTATTACATATGCAAAAAAGGACGAACAGGCCAACCTCGACCACATATTCTACCCATTCACAAGAATACATTACGGAATTGATTTTATTAAGGCCTACCGATTGGTATATATTATCTACAATCAAGGGACATTCATTATGTTCCAGCTAGTGACCCTGTGGGGTTCAAATTTTCTTTTTTTACTTCCTATAGCAAAGTCATTTTCACAAATTAAGCCTCTTCTTTATTTCCGCTCTCTACCTGCTTATAAAACCGAGAAAGGGGAGAAAATATCTTAGAAAAGACATCTAAAAAAGACTGCCAAAACTACTAGAAATATATCACAAGGCCGCATAAGCGGCCGTTTACACTTGTGTTACATGCTCTAGTTAGTTAACTCATACATTTAGTTACTTCATACACGAAAGAAATCATGTCCAACATAAACCGAAACAAGAATGCCTGAGAGGCAGCCGATGGAATAGAAAAGAAAAGAATAAATCACACCAAACAAGGGGCAGCCGCTGCACATAAATTATCAAGGTAACATATGACCTTGACCATATGTCAAGCTCACTTACTGTTTACCCTGACTAGCAAGCAGGTTAGCTACATCAGCATCTAGGTCGCCGCCTGCAAAAGCTGCATAGTCCTCCTCGCCATGTGAAATCTTGCGCCTCTTTGCATGGCCATCAGTAGTAATATCGAAGTTATTGTCATGACCAGGAGAAACAATAGTGGATTGATCAGTGATGGCAGTTCCGTTGCCTGACTCCTGAATGTTGGGGATGTTCATGGGGTTCCATTCTGAAGTGTCGTCATCCGCCTCTTCGGTGAAAGGGCCGCGGCGGAGCTGTTGCTTTTCTGGCTGTGGGGACCCCACCGGCGTAATAGCTTCCACCGGGGGAGGTGTCAAAGCTTCGACTTCTGGGCGGGCGGATGCATCATCATGTCCGCTGTGTTCGCCGGGATTTGTGGACTCTTCACTGGGCAGACCACGCATAATCGCATCTTCGACCTCACGCTTTTGGGTATCGACTGAGGATTTCTTCTGTGAGAGCTCAGCGCTAAGTGCCTCCTCCTTCGAGAGCTCTGCACGGTTGGTCTGGAGGATCTTCTCGAGCCCATCGATCAAGGCGCGGCGCGACTTGATTACCTCGGAGACGGAGTTTTCTGCGTTCGCAAGCGTCTTCAAGAGTGAACTTAGACGCGCAGCATGAACGGGAAGTGTAGGCTTCGGGGCCTTGG